ATTACCAACTCATAGATTTAAATATATTTCATGCATTTCATCCTTGCAGTTATTATTCTTGTTGGTGCTCTAATCTTCCTGTTTGAGACCAATGGGAACTTTTTTAGGATGACTCCTAGCACTTTTAACATTCCTTGTAATCTTTGATCACTTCATTGCTTGGTGCTATAACAAAAGATGCTCCAGAAACAACTTATACTTTTCCTGCCCCAAATCTGAAAGCAGCCACTTCTTTTTGCCAAATCTTGCTTTGTCTTTTTTAATTTCAGCCTTTCTAGTGGGTGTGTAGTAATATCTTATTGTAGTTTTAATTTGCATATCCCTGATGAACAGAAATGTTGAACAGCTTTTCATGTACTTATTGGCCATTAATATACCTCCTTTTATGAAGTGTTTGTTCAAATCTTCCATCCATTTTTAAATTAGGGTTTTGTTTTACTATTGAGCTGTAAATGTTTTTTATATATTATGGTTATACCGGTCTGTTATCAGATAAATGTGTTGCAAATATTTTCCTTCATTGCCTAGCTTTCCTTTGATTTTTCTTTACAATGCTTTTCAAAGAGCACACATTTTTAGTTTTGGTAAAATATGATTCATCCACCTTTCCCTTTAGAGTTTTGAGTCGTATCTAAGAAATCTTTATCTAACCCAAGTTGCAAAGATATTCTCCTATGTTGTCTTCTAGGAGATTTATCATTTTCACTTTAAAATTTAGGTCTATGATCCATGTGTAGGTAACTTTTGTGTATAGTGTTGTATGAGTTTTCCTTGATGCTGTAACAACTATTATAAACTTAGTTGCTTAAATCGACACACGTTTCTTATCTTATAGTTCCGAACGTCAGAAGTCTGGTACAGGTCTCCCCATACTAAAATGAAGGTGTTGGCGGCTCTCTTCCTTTCTGGAGGCTCTAAGGGGAGAATCCGTGTCCTACTCATTGGGTTACTGGCAGAATTCAGTTCCCTGTGTTTGTGGGACCAAGGTCCCCATTACCTGCTGATTGTGAGCTGAGCCATTCCCAATTTCTACCAGCCGCTGCATTCTTTGGCTCAGGGTACCCTTTCATCATCTTCAAAGCCAACGATGGCCAGTCGAGTCCTTCTCATGTGAGTTGTGCTCTCTTAATCAGTCTAGCTAGAGATTAATCAATTTTGTGGATCTTTTCAAAGAACCAGCTTTTGGCTTTGTTGAGATTCTCTATTCTTTATCTTCAATTTCATTATTTTTTGCACTTATCTTTATTATCTCTTTTCCTCTTCCTAATTTTGGTTTATTTTTCTCTTTTTTCCTAGCTTCTTAAGGTGAAAGCTTAGATCATTGATTTTAGACCTTTCTTCTTTTCTCCTCTAGACGTTTAAAGCTATATTTCCCTCCAGGCACTGCTTTAGTTGCATCTCACAAATTTTGATATGTTGTATTTTCATTATCATTCAATTCAAAATATTTTCTAGTTTCTCTTGTGACTTTTTTCTTTGACCAGTTATTTATTTAGAAGTGTGTTATTTAACTTCCAAATATTTGGGGGTTTTCTAGCTATGTTATTGTTATTGATTTCCAGCTTAATTTTGTTGTGCTCTGTACAATTTCAATCTTTTTAAATTTACTGAAACTTTTTTATGGCCCAGTATAGGTTCCATCTTGGTTAATGTATCGTATTCACTTGGGAAAAAAAAAATGTATTCTGCTGTTGTTGATGTAGTGTTTTATAAATATCAATTAGATCAAGGAAACTGATAATGTTCAAATCTTCCATGTTTTTCTGGGGGTTCTGGTTTAGTTCTATCAGTTGCTGAGAAAGAGGTGTTTAAATCTTCTACAATGATTGTGGAATTGGCTAGTCTCTCTTTAAGTCTGTTAATTTTCCCTTCGTGTATTCTAAAGCTCTGTTATTAGGCATATGCACATTTATGATCATTATGTCTTCCTGTTTAATTGACTTTTTTATCATTATGAAATGTCCATCTTTATCCTTGGTAATAGTCTTTGTTTTGAAGTCTATATTCCCTGATATTAACATAGTCAGTCCAGCTTTCCTATCTTACAGTTTACTTGGTATGACTTTTTTCACATGTCCTGCAATGCCTAAAATATGTATTTTCCAGCTCTTTTCAGAAAAAGTTTGCTAACCCCTGGTTTAGACCATTAACATTTAACCTAATTATCAATATGGTTGAATATAGATGTCTCATTTTATTATTTATGTTCTGTTTGTCTCTGTTTCTCATTCTTCTGCCCCTGTTGTATTGCCTTCTTTTGGATTATTTGAATAATTTTAGTCTTCTACTTTATCTACTGGCTTTTTGGCTATACCACTTATTATTTTTAGTGATTGCTCTAGGGATTAAAATATATATCCCTAACCTTTCACAGTATAAAGTTAATATTTGTATCACATCACATAAAAAGGAAACCTTATAATCATATAGGTCCCTTGACTCCCATCCACTATCCTTTAGGTTAATCTCGTCATAGGTATCACTTTCTACATATGTGAAAAGCCCCATAAGGCAACAATATAATTTTAGCTTTAAATAATCATGTATATTTTAAGGAACTTAGGAAAAAATAATCTTTTACGTTTACCCAAATAATTTCTATTTCTAATGTTCTTCATTCATTTGTGAATTTCCGAGTTTCCATCTGAAATTGTTTCCCTTCAACCTGAAAAACTTCTTTTACCATTTCTTGTATTGCAGGACTGCTGGCAATGAACACTTTTAGTTTTCCTTTATCTGAAAATCTATTACACTTTCATTCTTGTAGGACATTTTTTATGGATATAGGATTCTGAATTGACTTTTTCCCTAAGCTCTTAAAAAATGTGCTTTCACTACTCTCTACCCTTCACAGTATCTGATGAAAGGTCCACATTGTTGCTCCCCTATACATGGTATGTCACTTCTCTCTATCTGCCTTTATGATCTTCTCTTTTTCTTTAGTTTCCAGGGGTTTAATCATGATACTCATTGGACTTTACCTTTTTGGGGGTTAGCTTGGCTTCTTGAATCTGTAAATTTATGTCTTTCATTAAATTTGGGAAGTTGTCTGCCATAATTTCTTCAGATATTTTCCTGCCACATTTTCTCTCTCCCCCTCTTTTTGAGACTCAAATTAACCTTACACTAGCACCTTTTGATGTTATACCACTAATCCCTGAAGTTCTCTTCATAGTTTTCAAGTTTTCTTTCTCTCCAGATCAAATAACTCCTTGGCTCTAGTTTCAAGTTCGCTGACTCTTTCCTCTGTCATCTATATTTGGCTGTTAGCCCATCTGGTGAATTTTTATTTTTCAGTTCTAAAATTTCTATTTCTTTTTTTTTTCTATATTTTCTGTTTATCTTCTGGCATTTCCTTTATTTTCTTTCACTTCTTTTCTTTACTTCATTGAGCATAGTTATAATAGCTGATTTAAAATGCTTGTCTGGTAATCTCAACATTGGGTCATCTTGGAGTTGCTATCTCTTGATTGTTTTTTCCATTTATTTTTTATATTTTTCTGTGGTAAGAACATATAACATGAGAAGTACCCTCTTAACAAATTTTTAAGTGTATAATATGTTATTGTTGATTATAAGTACAGTGTTTTATAATATATCTCTAGAACTTATTCATCTTGCTTAACTGAAACTTTATACCCATTGATTAGTATCCCATTTCCCCCTCCCCCTAGCCCCTGGCAGCCACCATTCCATTCTTTGATTCTATGAATTTACACTTTAGATAACTCATATAAGTGGAATGATGCAGTATTTGTCTTTCCATGAGTGGCTTATTTCACTTAGCATAATATCCTCATTCATCCATGTTTTCACATATTGCAGAATTTCCTTCTTTTATAAGGCTGAATAATATTCCACTGTATATATATACCACATTGTCTTTATCCATTCCTCTGTTGATTGACATTTAGGTTGTTTTCACATCTTGGTTGTTATGTATAGTCTGCAGTGAACATTGGAGTACTAATATCTCTTCAAGATCTTGATTTCAATTCTTTTGGATAAATAGAGCAATCTCAAAAGTGGGATTGCTGGACCATGTGTAGTTCTATTTTTAACTTTTTGAGGAACCTTCATACTGTTTTCCATAGTGGCTACACTATTTTTCATTTTCACCAACAGTGTGCACAGTTTCCAATTTCTCCACATCCTCGCCTACATTTGTACCTTTTTTTTTTTTATAATAGCCATCCCAACAGGTATGAGGTGATATCTCATTGTTGCTTTGATTTGCATTTCCCTGATTGTTAGTAGCATTGAGGATTTTTTCATTTATCTGCTGGCCATTTGTTTGTCTTCTCTGGAGAAATGTCTGTTCAAGTCCTTAGCCCATTTTTAAATTAAGCTATTGGGGTTTTTTACTATTGAGTTGAAGGAATTCCTTACATATTTTGGAGGTTAACATCCTATCAAATATATGATTTGTTGGGGCCAGCCTGGTGGCACAGTGGTTGAGTTCACGCTTTGCTTCAGCAGCCCGGGGTTCTCAGGTTTGGATCCCAGGCATGGAACTAGCACCCCTTATCAAGCCATGCTGTGGTGGGACCTCACATAAAAGAGAGGAAGATGGGCACAGATGTTAGCTCAACAACAATCTTCCTCTAGCAAAAACAGGAAGATTGGTAATACGTGTTAGCTCAGGGCCAATCTTCCCCCCCCCCCACACACACACACAAAATAATTATATATATATTTGTGATTCGCAAATATTTTCTCCCATACTGTAGGGACCTCTTTATTCTGTTGATTGTTTCATTTGCTGTGCAGAAGCTTTTTTGTTTGGTGTAGTCCCACTCATCTCTTTTTGTTTTTGTAGCCTGTGTATTTGGTGTCATATCTGTGAAATCATTGCCAAGACCAATGTCATGATATTTTTCCCATGTGTTATTTTCTAGAAATTTTACCGTTTCAGGTCTTATGTTTAAATATTCAATCCATTTTGTTGATTTTTGTGTGTGGCATAAGATTAAGGTCTAATTTTATTCTTTTGCGTGTAGATATCCAGTTTTTCCAGCACCATTTGTTGAAGAGACTATCCTTTCCCCCTTGTGTATTCTTGGCACCTGTGTTGAAGATCAATTGGCCATGTATGTATGAATTTATTTCTCGGCTCTGTATTCTGTTCCATTGGTCTATATGTCTGTCTTTATGCCAATACTGTACTGTTTTGATTACTGGAGTTTTGTGATATATTTTGAAAAAAGGAAGTGTGATGCCTCCATCTTTGTTCTTCTTTTTACTGCTTAATTTGGCTATTAGGGTCTTTTGTGGTTCTATATGAATTTTAGAGTTTTTTTTTCTATTTCTGTTTTTAAAAAAGCGTGACATTGGGATTTTTATAGGGATTGCATTGAATCTGTAGATTGCTTTAGGTACTATGGACATTTGAACAATATTAATTCTTCCAAATCACGAACATGGGATATTTTTGCATTTATTTTCCTGTTTAATTTTTTTATCATATTTTATAGTTTTCAGTATACAAGCCTTTCACTTCCTTAGTTGTTTATTCCTAAATATTTTTTTTTTGGTGCTGTTGTAAATGGGATTGTTTTCCTAATTTCCTTTTCAGATAGTTTGTTGTTAATATATAGAAATGCAGCTGATTTTTGTATGTTGATTTTTGCATTCTACAACTTTACCTAATTCATTTCTTAGTTCTATCAGGGTTTGTTTTTTTTTTTTGTAGAGTCTTTAAGGGCTTTCTATAAGATCATGTCATCTGCAAACAGGAAGAGTTTTACTTTTTCTTTTCCAATTTTGAACAACCTTTGGGTAGAAGAAGAAATCAAACAGGAAATTAGAAAATACCTCAAGACAAATGAAAATGAAAACACAACATGCCAAAATTTGTTGAATGTAGCAAAGGGAATTCTAAGAGGGAAGTTCATAGCAATAAACACTTACATTAAAAAAAAAAAAGAAAGATCTCAAATAAACAACCTAACTTTACATCTCAAGCAGCTAGAAAAAGAAGAACAGACAAAGCCCAAAGTTAGCAGAAGGAAGGAACTAACAAAGATTAGAGCTGAAATAAATGATATAGAAAATAGAGAAACAATAGAAATAATGAAACTAAGAGTTAGTTAGACAAAGGAAAGAGTTACACTTAGCTAGACTCAGGAAAAAGAGAGAAGAATCAAATAAATAAAATCAGAAGTGAAAGAAGAGACATTACAACTGGTGCTACAGAAATAAAATGGGTGATAAAAGAATACTATGAACAATTCATTATATGCCAACAAACTGTATAACCTAGAAGAAAATGGATAAATTCCTAGAAACATACAACCTACCAAAACTAACTCATGAAGAAAGAGAAATACTGAGTAGACCTAAAACTAGTATGGAGATTGAATCAGTAATCAAAAACCTCCCAACAAAGAAAAGCCCAGAACCAGATGGCTTCATGGTGAACTCAATTAAATATTTAGAGAAGAATTTACATCAGTCTTTCTCAAACTCTTCCAAAAAACTCTAGAGCAGGGAACACTTCCAATCTCATTTTGTGAGGCCAGCATTACCAATACCAAAACCAAAGACACAAGAAAAAGAAAACTACAGGCAAAGATCCCTGATGAACGTAGATGCAAAAATCCTCAACAAAATACTAGCAAAACAAATCCAACAGCACGTTAAAAGGATCATACCCCATGACCAAGTGGATTTATCCTTTGGATGCAAGGATCGTTCAACATATGGAAATCAGTTCAAGTGATACACAACATTAACAGAATAACGGGTAAAAATCATGTGATTGTCTCAATAGATCCAGAAAAAGCATTTGACAAAATTCAACACCCTTTGATGATAAAAACTCTCAGCAAACTAGGAATAGAAGGAAGTTACCTCAACATAAATAAAGGTCACATATGAAAAACCCACAACTAACATCATATTCAGTGTTGAAAACCTGGAAGTTTTTCCTCTAAGATCAGGAACAAGGCAAAAATGCCCACTCTGGCCTCTTCTGTTCTACATAGTACTGGAAGTCCTAGCCAGAACAATTAGTCAGGAAAGATATATAAAAGGCATCCAAACCAGAGAAGAAGGAGTAAAGGTCTTTTCCATTTAAAATGGATTGCATTTTCTAGGTTTTCTGTCAGTAGGAAAATTTTAGATTGTATTCTGGACAGTGTGAATATTATGTTGTGTAGACTGAGTTCTGTCATATTCCTCTGATGAATGTTGACGTTTTTGTTTTAGCTGGCAGTTCATGTGGTTACGTTCAAATTGTAAGCTCTCTCTTGCCTTCTGTGGTTGATGGGTCGTAGCTTGGGTCCATTCTTTAGGTCTTTGTTGCACTACTTTGAATCTGTCCTGTGAATGCATGCTTCAAGGGTCAGCCTGAGGCTTGTCCAGGGTTCATACACAGAACTGGGGAATCTTCTTTCTTCTAGGATTCCCCCTCGCTCTTCAGCGTCTGGCCTTATTTGACCAGCTTCTTCCCCTGATTCCTCCATCCAGAAAGACAGTGGGCTTTCTATCAGAATTTTGGGCCTTCTTGAGCAGCCACACCTATGGCTGTGGCTGTGACTGTCATTGAGTCAAAGGTACAAAAAATGAGGAATTCGTTCCATGTTGATCACTTGCTCCAAGTTTAGACTTTCCTCCAAAACCTGCCTATCTTTGCATAGTCTCCAGAACCTTCAGGTAATTGTGGGGTTTTTGTTTTGTTTTGGTTTGGTTTTTCTTTTTTCAAGGGGGAAGGATTGTATTTTGTCCACAGTACATAGCTGTTATTTGTAGGATCTTGTGCATGTGTGAGGAAGATTGGCACTGAGCTAACATCTGTGCCAATCTTCCTCTGTTTCATGTGGGATGCCACCACAGCATGGCTTGACATTCAGTACTAGGTTTGCGCCTGGGATCCAAACCTGCAAACCCCAGGCCGCTGAAGTGGAGTGCTCAAACTTAACCACTACGCCACCAGGCTGGCCCCACAGGATTTATTTTTTTTAAGTGCTTACTCTTACATGTAGGAAGCAGATCTTCCTTTTTTATATATAATATATGCATTTAAAGTTTATCACATAAATATAAGTATGTGCTGTTTTCACTCTGTTTAGTTTAAAATAGTTTATAATTTTCATTATGCTTTCTTCAACTTATGGGTTTGGGGACATTAGATTATTTATATAAATGATCAAATATTGGATTTTCTAGTTGCCTTTTGGTTAATGATTTCTAAGTCAATTGCACTTTGCTCATAGAACAAGACTTCAAGTCTTTGAAATATGTTGACTTGCTTTATGACGTAGCATATGGTTAATTGTTGTGAAGGAATTAATTGGAGTTGAAAAAGATTTGTTCTGCAATTATTGGGAAGTGTTGTAAATATATCCATTAGATCAGGTTTGCTAAACATGTTGTTCACGTTTTCCAATATGATTGTGAATTTGCCTGTCTCCTATAGTTCTGTCAGTTTATGCTGTGTATATGCAGTTGGGGCTATGTTATTAGGTACACTGAATTTAGAATTCTTGTACCCTTCTTGTAAATTGAACTTTTTTCTCATGAAGAGGTAGAACGTGAACTCTAACTACTCTGTTCAATGTTGGTATTGCCATACCAGGTTTATTTTAGTCAATGCTTAAATGGTATATATTTTTCCATCCTTATCACTTTTAACTTTACTCTGCCCTTAAGTTTTAGATGTCTTTCTTACAGATAGCACCTATTATAATTTTTATCATTATTCAAATCTGACAGGCTTTTAATTAAAGCATTTAGTCCATTTATGTTTGATGTTATTAAAGATATGTTGTGTTTGAGTCTATTGTCCTACCATATGCTGTCTCTTTGTCCTATCTGTCGTTTCTTTTCCTCTCCTTTTTGCATTCTTTTATCACTCCATTTTTCTCTCTATTAGAAGTTATACTCTCTTAATTTTTAGAGGGATGGTTTTGCATTGAGGTGATTTTTAAAAATTAATAGACTTTATTTTTTAGAGTAGTTTTAGGTTTATAGAAAAATTGAGCATAAAGAACAATGAGTTCTCATTTACTCCCTTCTCCTTCCCCCGTTCCCCACCCCAGGTTTCCCCTATTATTAACATCTTACCTTAGTGTGGTGTGTTTTTTAAAGTTGATGAACCAATATTGACACATTATTATTAACAGAAGTCCATGGTTCATATTAGGGTTCTCTCTTTGTGTTGTACATTCTATAGGTTTTGACAAATGTATATGATGTGTATCTATAATTACAGTGTTGAACAGAATAGGGTCACTGCCCTAATGATCCTCTTAACATTTGCTAATGGTTCCCCTAGAGATTACAAAATGTATTCTTGACCTATCAATGTCTAAGTTATTGTACCAGGTCAGTACAAGGACTTCTGTATTTTAAATTTCTACATATTTTAACCCCACAAGATATGGTAATCCCACGTAGACCAAAACTGAAAGTGAAAAAAATTCTTTTTCATTCTCCTCAGGTACAGGAAATGATAAAAACCAGAGACAACCCTGAAACCTACAATGAATGAATCTCTCCTCAACATTGTTTACGACCATCAATATCAATACTCTGTTCAATTTGCCGCTCTGAAAAGTAGTTTTTGAATGGTCATTGGTAGTGACTATGCCTAAATGTGTTCTTAATTTTTAAGTAAAAATCCATAGGGTATCTTTGTAAAATTCACATAATAGTTACAGATACCTCTGTCTAATCATACAAAAATATACACGTTATACTTATCCATGCATTGGTATGTCAATGCTCATTCCTCCAAAGCACTGAACAATAACAAGTTCACAAATCCCAAAGAGGATCAAGAAAAGAATATTAGCAATTTATGTGCACTTCTCTTAAAGCATACAAATCTATCATGTCTCCAAGCTGTCTATAAAATTTTTGATCAGAAAGCCTGTGGAAAATAATTTGTAACATCACTTTTTGTCTCTTTTATTGGAAGATGATTGTTGTAATATCTCTTATGTCTTAATACCTCCAACATGTTTCTACTATTTTCCTTTTGACCCTTCCTGTTATGTTCGGCCATTAGTAGACGTGATTTAATCTATTCCTACGGATGGCACTCTTCTCATTTTTAACCTACAGCAAAACTCAGACATGTTATACTACCCTTTACACACCTGTGGGAGAGGCCAAATGGCACTTCCTCATCACCTTTCGCCCCTGAAGTGTATCTACATCGGGTGGAATGTGTAACCAGTCAAACTGGTATTTAAAAGCAAAAAGCCTCAACGTGGTCCCTCTGGTATGAGAGGATCTGCCCAGCAGTCATGGCTGAGATGATCATCTGATGCTCTTTTCGTGAGCTGAACCTTTCATTTGATTTCCACTTGAACATTAAAGCAGACTTGATTGTTTATTTTGTTTCGCTGGTGACTTGATGCAAGTATGTGGTTGTATTACAATGAATTAAGCTTCCGTTTGAACAATCATGCATAAATCCTACTTTTTTTTATACCTGAATTTCTTTTCTAATAATTATGTTAAAAAAATCTCCTGCTTATATCTTCAAAGTTTGTTTAGTTTTTCTTCCAATTGTCCACAAAATGTGCATGTGCTCAGACTCAATAAACGTTCTCCACTCAGATAAGCAGCTTGTCCGTTGATCGTAGGCTGGGAAAACGAGGTGAAAGCTATAAATTTGCAGTGAACCTATGGGAAAAATTTGAGTGATGTGACTGTTACAATTAATCAGTTGTTTGAACAAAATAACCCAAAGATTGAAGGGACAGCAGTATTATTACTGATCAAAACCTTGGATGTTATCAGTAACATCTGAAATTAAGTACTGAAGTTAGTTCACTGGTTTTCAGCCCTAATACCAGAGAGCTTTTTATGTTTTTTAAGGCAGAACACCTCAAACCAGACCACACCAGCCACTTCAGCCCAACTCATTGGCTTTCTTTGTTGTGTTTCACAACTGTTACATTGACCTTTTACAAGGAGAAGTAGACCAGAGAGGATGGGCTTGGTATGGTCCAGTGCTCCTGTCTGAACGTGTTTGACTGAATAGAGAAGTGAGAAAATGAAGACCAAGCCTGACTTTTAGCAACTCAGGCTCTCTACCAAAAGAACTGTCTAGTGTAGATCAGTGAGCTATAAGTATATTCAGTCCTTAGTCCCTAAATGGTAGGAAGTAGTCCCAAGCCAGGAGTAAACACTAAAGGTGAGAATCCAGGTGGGACTGGCTATTAATGAGAAGAGGAAGAAGAGTCCCAGAGATGGCCTTTTCAGAGGAAAACTGACAGAGGACATGGGCGGCCATGTAGGATAAAAACGTGGTGCGGAATAAGTGTCAATGTCAGAACAACCAGAAATCAAAAGATGTGCGCTCCCTTGATTCCCTTACAGGAACCCTCCAAGGATGCTTCTGAAGGAGGAGCTATACCTGTAGATATGGGGTGTGAGTGTCTCAGGTGTTGTTAACTGAGATAACATGTAAAAGCACTTAGAACAGTGCCTGGCACTGTCAGCTCTTATTATCTTAGTAGCTTTATTATCCACGGTATCAGTATTCGATTTTACCTGTGCAACCTGATGACCCTCCCTCACTGCGTTTCCCAGCCACTCTGATCTCCTCACAGTAATAGGAAAGTGAAGCTGCTCGAGCAGTTTTTCTGGGCCTGTCCCTTCCCCTCTTCCACTTAAAGATAAATGTGACATCATTTGTCATAGGGAAATGTAAATCAAAACCATGATGAGATACCACCTCACACCCACTAGGATGGCTAGAATCAAAAAGACAGACAATAATAAGTATTATTATTAACACTTATTAATAAGTGTTAATACACTTATTAATGTATTAGTAAGGATTAATTATTATTAGCTATAATTAAGGATGTGGAGATGTTAGAACACTTAAACACTGCTAGTGGGAACGTAAAATGGTGCAGCCGCTTTGGGAAACGGTTTGACAATTCTTCCAAAAGGAACGTTGTATTATCATATGATCCAGCAACCCGTACCTAGGTATATACTCAAGCAATTGAAAAGGTATGGCCATCCAACACCTTGTACATGAATGTTTGTAGCAGCATTCATAATAACCAAAAAATGTAAACAACGCAAATGTCCATCAAGTGATGAATAGATTTTTAAAATGTTATAGTCAATAGATGAGTGGATAAACAAAATGTGGTATATACATACATACCATGGAATATTATCCAGCCTTAAAAAGGAAGGAACTCTTGAGCCAGCCCTGATGGCCTGGTGGTTACAGTTCAGTGTGTTCTGCTTCTGGTTTGGTTCCTGGTTACGGAACTACACCACCCATATGTCAGTAGCCATGCTGTAGTGGCAGCTCACATAGAAGAACTAGAAGAACTTACACCTAGGATATACAGCCATGCACTGATGCTTTGGGGAGAAGAAAAGAAAGAGGAAGATTGGCTTTGAGATGGCTAACAGATGTTAGCCCAGGGTGGATCTTTCTCTAAAAAAATAAAGGAAGGAAATCCTGTCACATGCGACAACATGGGTGAACTGACGACAAATAAGCCAGTCACAAATATTGTGTGATTCCACTTATATGAGATATCTAAAATAGGTAAAGTCATAAAAAGAGAAAGTAGAATGATGGTTATCAGGAACTAGAGGGAGGGAAAAGTGGTGACTTTTTTAATAGGTATAAAGTTTCAGTTTTGCAAGACAGAAAGTTCTGGAGATCTATTGCACAATAATGTGAATGTACTTAATGCTAATGAACTTTATGCTTAAAAGTGGTTAAAACAGGGAGTTCTCGTCAAGATGGCACTGTGAGCAGACATTGAACTCGCCTCCTCCCACAAACACAACCAGGTTACAACAATTTTAGGAAGAATCACCCTGGATTGAAAACTGAAAACTGGATAAAAAGAACCCCCACAACAAGGGACAGTCCTGACGAAAGCAGAAGAGGCAGTAACTCCGGCCAGAGAGGAAAAAAGCCACCTTTGGGAGCAGCAGAGCTTCTCAGCTGGCCAGGCGGGAGCCAACCTAAGGATATCCAGATAGCATCTCAAGACGCCTAAGAGTCTTGCACTACTATACATCAGAAGGCGGATGGACTTCCCCCCGGGAGGAGGTGGAAATAGGTGAAAACTCCCTGACCCCCGACCCCGGGACAGCCTAGTTCCTGCAGGAGGCTCTCTTCCAGCGGACTCCCCCATAGCATCGCCACACACCAAGGGCGGGAGTGTGCAGTCACCAGCGGAGCGACGGTGGAAACAGGTGACAACAGCCCTACTCAAGCCCCCCGCGATTACACCTAAGCCCAGGGGGAATCCCCAGGGTCCTGCACACACCGGCAGGGAAGGCCTCCGCTTGCCATTAGCCGGGAGGCCCTGCCCAGAATCCAGAACAAAGGGAAGCTCCCAGCGGGCGGATTCCCCGGCACAGCACCAGACCCCAAGCTGCTGCTGGGCCCATGGTCTCCGGCGCACAGGTCGGTGCAGGGGGCGTCCGGACGTGCTTGGGGACACAGTTGGAGGTCCAGTGCCCGGCTCTGTGGCCCGCGGGGAGGCTCCGGGGTGCAGCACCTCCCTGGAAGGGAAAGCCTCTGCTCGCCATTAGCAGGGAGGCCATGCCCAGAATCCAGGACAAAGGGAAGCTCCTGGCAGGCAGATTCCCTGGCACAGCACCAGACCGCAAGCTGCTGCTGGGCCCACGGTCTCCGGCACATGGGTCGGTGCAGGGGGCACCCAGACTTCCTGTGGACGTGCTTGGGGACAGGGTTGGAGCTCCAGCGCCCAGCTCTGTGGCTCGGGGGGAGGCTCCAGGGTCCCACACCCCCCCAGCAGGGAAAGCATCTGCTCGCCATTAGCTGGGAGGCCCCACCCAGAATCCAGGACAAAGGGAAGCTCCTGGTTGGCAGATTCCCTGGCACTGCACCAGACCACCAGCTGCTGCTGGGCCCACGGTCTCTGGAGCATGGGTTGGTGCAGGGGGTGCCCGGACTTCCTGTGGACGTGCTTGGGGACTGGGTGGAGCTCCAACACCTGGCTCTGCAGCCCAGGGGGACACTCCAGGGTCCCGCACCCCCCCCAGCAGGGAGGGCCTCTGCTCACCATTGGCAGGGAGGCCCCGTCCAGTGTTTGGAACGCCAGGAAGCTCCCTAGAGCAGAATTCCCCACAAGGCAGCAGCTTACAAGCCACCACCAGGCCCACAGATTCTGGCCGTGTCCCAGAAGAGGCAAGGGGCTCCCAGAGATCCTGTGAGAGTGGAGTGGGGCAGAGTGGAGCTCCAGTGAAATGGCTACGTAGCCCAGGGGGGAACTCCAGGTTCCTACAGCAGCCTCAGTGAAAGCCTCTGCACAGCACTAGTGGAGAGGTCCCAACTGGTAATCCCAAGGCGGGAAGGCCCTGGGGCAAAAGTAGCACAGCTAGGTGAGCTAATGACAGACTGCAGAAGATACCCATAGCTCTACTATAGTGGACAAGTGTGATCTTGTGGGCTCTATTAGGGACAAAGTGGTGATTATAGGTGATCCTGCTCCTGGCTGCTGGTAAAGCCCACAACACTGCTGCAGACCACAAGGAGGGAGTGCATCTAAGTGGGCTGAAACAGTAGGCATCAGCAGCCTGAGACCCCCTTGCGATTGCCCCCACAACCAACAAGGGACCCCACAGGACCACTGTGAGTATGAGGAGGGGTCCAGGTCCAGTCAGTAACAGCTGACAGGGTTCCGGGTTGGTGCAGTCTAAACAGCTGCCCCCCCACACACACCAGTCGCAACAAGTGGAAGCTGCGACTACACTCTATCTCTATGCGGAGGCACAAATCCACGCCATCAAGCAGTATGAAAAAATATATTAAATCTCCAGAACAGAGGAAAATGATAAGCACCCAGAAAACAATCCCAAAGACAATGAAATCTATAAGCTAAATGACGATGATTTCAAAACTGCCATTATTAAAAAACTCAATGAGTTAAAAGAGAATTCAGATAGACAACTCAATGAGTTCAGGAGCTATGTCACAAAAGAGCTTGACACTATAAAGAAGAACCAATTAGAAATACTGGAGATGAAGAACACAATGGAGGAGAGTAAGAAAAATCTGGACTCTCTGAACAGTAGGGTTGATAATATGGAGGACAGAATTAGCAATTTGGAGGATAGGAATATAGAAATGCTGCAGACAGAGGAGGAGAGAGAACTAAGACTAAAAAGAAATGAAGAAACTCTCTGAGAATTATCCGACTCAATTAGGAGATGCAACATAAGGATTATAGGTATACCAGAGGGAGAAGAGAAGGAGAAGGGGGCAGAAGGCCTGTTCAAAGAAATAATTGCTGAGAACTTTCCAAACTTGGGAAGAGAGATGGAACTTCATGTGACAGAAGCCAATAGATCTCCAAACTTTATTAACGCAAGAAGACCAACCCCAAGGCACATAGTAGTGAAACTAGCAAAAGTCAACGACAAAGAGAAAATACTAAGGGCAGCCAGGCAGAAGAAAATAACTTACAAAGGAAACCCCATAAGGCTATCAGCAGATTTCTCAGGAGAGACCTTACAGGCTAGAAGAGATTGGAATGAAATATTCAAAACTCTGAAGGACAAAAACCTGCAGCCAAGAATACTCTACCCAGTG